CGGTGGACAGCCACACACAGGCCACAGACCGTCTGTGAGCTGTTTTGAGTGCCGGCTCCTTATTAAGCCGCCGCCCCCAGCGTGCACACAGCCTGACTGACCCCAATATCTCTGGTCCTACTAAAGATGATTATGATGCCAGGATCCATTATGAGACCAAATTCAACCCATTAAGTCTGTTTTTTCTGAATGGCCTCAAAGCACTGAACACAATAAGCACGGCATGTTAGCGAGAGGGAAGAGCGCTCTTCTTTCTCACTGCAGTTAACAAAAGCGTTTGAAACTCCCCGTCACCAAAGGTAATTCCATCCAGGTGAACCCCCGCTCCCCTTACACTCTTCCATTAACCTCCCGTCCCTCCACACCCTTGGGAAGGGTCCTGTTCACAGATGTGTGTGAGGGTCACTCGCTGCTCGAGGGCCTGTCACATCCACGTCCCTGCGCCCTGACAGGCCCGCTGTGTTCAGGAGACAACATCTCATCACGCTGATGGACGGGGGAGGAGCTTCAGGCTCAAACGGCACGCCTTTACGCTAGCATGACAGACACTTCATCCTGTTACGACGCGAGCCGAGACCTCAGCTCCTCAGGCTTGCGTGCACACTCACGTGCATGACAGAAATGAGCACATACCTCGTGTCACCTTATGTTATTTTGAAAGCACTAATGTTGCCAAAGGATACAGACGACCTCCCCTGCAGGCTTCATCGTGAGCTTTGACAGCTCAGCACATGTCAATAAAGATGCAGGTAGACGACCGTTACAATGGCTTCCAGGCTCTTCCAGTGGAGACCCTCCTCATTTAACCTCTGATCCACAACCAGTTATTTTGTTCTATAAGCAGAACAAAATAACTGGACGGAAAGCACTCGGTTCACAAAAGGGCTTCGTGGGTTAGTCCTAGTAGAGCAGGGGTGTCCAACTGCAGGCCTCGAGGGCCGGTGTCCTGCAGGTTTTAGATCTCACCCTGGGTCAGCACACCTGAATCAAATGATTGGTTCATTACCAGGCCTCTGGAGAACTTCAAGACACATTGAGGAGGTCGTTTAGCCATTTAAATCAGCTGTGTTGGATCAAGGACACGTCTAAAACCTGCAGCACACCGGCCCTCGAGGCCTGCAGTTGGACACCCGTGTAGTAGAGGGTAGGGCGGGGTAAGAGTTAAGTTGTTGTAACACCATGAAACACAGAGGCAGGTTTAAAAGCCTCCTCTAGTGCTCAGCCTAGTGGTTCCTAAAGCCCAAAAACCATCTGGATATGGGGAATTTTTCCTTCCAGTAGTTCTTATTAAGAGCCAAAACAAAGAGTCGTTTCTCAAATTCAAAAAGTGATTCTGACTCAGTGCTATTGTGGGCCTTGGACCCTGCAGTGTGTGGTCGCTGTTATGTTTTGTAATGTTTGAGGGTGACCTGGCAGCACAGAGCGAGAGAAAGCCTGAGCATACACCCACTTCCTATAAAACACCTACACTGGCAGTTTGCATTCCCAGGTGCACCGAAGCCTGCAGGAAGGAGAGAGGACAGAGCAGGCCTGCAGGTGCTCACAGAGGTGGGAACTGTTCCCTCGGAGAAGGAGGCTGGTGGGGGACGCTGGAAGGGACAAACCATAAAACACACACAGGCACACTGACACTCCTTTCAGACGTGCTCTCCTTTCCATGAAGCCGATAATCAGAATAACTTTATTTGTATAGTAAAGTCACCTTCATGTCTGAAAAGTAACCGGGGACCTTAAACCACTGACTCCATGAGGTTGTGTGGAAGATGGATGTCATGACCCTGTGATGTCAAAATGCAACCCCACTGCAGACGGATGGAGCTAGTGATGTGCTGAGGTAAAGATCCTCCCTTCTAGCATCCCGATTATGTCGTATCCTCCAAGCCTCTTCTTCACACCTAGGCTCCTTGTCTGCACGCACACACCCGCCATTCCCCAGGTCCGTGTCAGAAACAGGTTCCTTGGGGATCAAGGGCCGAGCGGAGTCAGAACCATGACCGTACAAAGCAAACACGCAGAAGCCTCGCCGTGCGCCCGACTGGGTCCCTCTCAAAGACTGAAGACGGTGCAGCGGGCAAATCAGTTGTGCATGCAACTAGAAGACTTGCATACTCTGTTTATTTAAGTGTGTGTGAGTTTGTGCCAGTGTGGCTGTGTGCCTAATCCACACAGTGAGCCAATACAAGCAGAGTTAAGAGTCAAAGCCCTTCACAGTTTCCTGTTTCTTGTTAAGCGTTCATACAAACATGCAGTTTTTCAAATGGGACGAAATCCTGCTGATCGAAAAAATGTCCGGTTCTTCCCCTCGTATGTTTCTAAGGCTTCCTGATTCTGACAGTAATAAATATGTAGAGAAAAATACCCAAAGAACAAACGATCAAATACATAATGTGGAGAAACTTGCTGACAGAAAATAAAAACGAGGCTCAGTTTGGGTTGAAATGAGATGGTAAAGTGATGTGCTGAGCTTAAAAAAGCTCTAACAGAGTCACACAGATTTCTTTTTCCTTCGAGATATTTTTGTCCTTCACGTACCGCGACCCTAAAAACACTGGGCTGTTTTCTACCGCCCCTCACACTCAGTCCTGTCTGCTTGAGCTCAAAGGCACTTTGTTAGTCTGTTGGTGTCTGAATGGGTCTGAGAGCACACAGAGACAAGACGGGGTCCTGTCCTCCAATAAGAGGGCTTTGCAAAGTATCTCTCTGTAAAAGGTGAATTCAGTGAGTCTCTGTGTGGAGCAGGAAGCCCTGCCCTGAGCAGGAGTCACACTCTGTGGGTGCTCTCAGGGGAGAAGCCTGCCTGGCTCCTGACTGTATTCCCTTTTTTATTGGCCTGCTGCTTTGCTGCTGCCACAGCTTGTCATACAGTGTTGCTGTGGAAAAATGTAAACAGCTTCAGTAACTTTGAACCATCACAAACTCCAGGAGGTGTGCCCTTCTGATATTCTATTTCCTTGGATTGTCTTGCCCACACAGATGATGCACAGAGACGCAGAGGAACAAAACCATTAGTGGGTTGATTATGTAAATGATCTCCATAATACGCAGCTTTACCTTCTGTAAATGTGCTGTCAATAATCCGGTTTGCTGCTCATGTGTGAGAAGAGAAAAGGGAGGCTGACACTGCCGCTGTCAGAGGCTGAGCTCGAGTGACAGATTGGAGTAAGAGCCTCTGCCTTTGGTTGGACCATTCGTTTTAAATAAGATCAGTTACACAGTGATCACAGTCGCCGCAGAGAGAGAGAACTCTTTTCACGCGTGTAATTATGAGATTAAAGGATGCTTACCTGTTTGCAGCAAGCCGATTCTGCTGTCTGACACGTCGTAATTCCGCTGAATGTCGAGCACAACACCTGCAAAAGAAAAACATGAATGTGGTTTGGAGGTACAATAAGAGCCCTAATCACAGGTCCTGAAACGCTGAGCTCTGACTCACAGACAAGTTCATTCTGGATTTACGAAAGCCTTTTGTGGCTTGGACACGATGCTTAGATCGTAGTTAGAGGTCGTCATTCACCTCGCTTCCTCGAAGAGCAACAGAATGAGACTGATAACGCTCGTTTGGCTGCCACACAGTGCTAACCTTCGGCTCAAACACTGTCCCACAGGGTGCTATATGTGACCAATACCTGGTGTTAAATAACACAATCGCTTGCAAACACACAAACACACTCTCCAGCGTTAACTTGTCACTGGCTCATACAGCGCACAGCTCCGACACAATGACTGCAGCTGATTCTGGTTTTGCCACACGATGCAAACGTGAGTCGCTGTGCGTACGGCAATAACATGATTCCACTGTGAGAAACCACAAGTTCTCTGAAGTTCTTTCAATCCCATTACTGTAACCCAAGGTCATCAGCATACTGTACGTCGCACCGATGCCTTAATAAGGTGACAGGCATCTGCTTTTTGGCCAATCACGGGACAAGGAATGCACGCGCACAGCTGAATACCTGCTCATCACAGTTGTCTGACTTGTTGGTGCTCTGTGCCCGACATAGAAGAAATCCCATAAAGTTTTAAACACATCGTAAACATCAAAGGATCAAGATGAAGAAGGTCAGATGGTGATAAATTAGATTAAAAGAAATGCCTTTATGTCTACTGTGTAATTTTAAGCACTGGTAAACAAGAAAGCACAAATGATTCTGCTCGTCCTGAGAACAACAGCTTTAAAGTCGTCATTTCTAACCGAGAACAAAAGAACATCTCTGCAGTCCAGACGAAACGTGATGTGCTTGGTGGTGCTGGCTGACTCTTTGAGGCTGGCGGGCCGGTCCTGGGGATTGCAACACGGCTCATGAAAATGCAACAGCAGCATGACTCACATTTTAAGAAGCTGGCTCCCTCTGATCTGTGTGCTGCCCGCGTGTGAGCCCAGTATCACCTAGCAGAGCCTGACCTCTGTACGGGCTTTTGTAACGCTCAGAAACGGCCGCTTTATAATATCCAGCCGCCTCTCGCTTCACTCTGGAGGATAATGAGTACGATCGAGCCAAGCAGGCAAAAACAGCACATGGACGTAGCTGATTCTGTGGCTATCCTCTGCGCCGCCACTGACTCTGTTTGTCAACAAAGAAAGAGCGCAGGTTGCAAAGGTGGTGCGACGCAGGGCAGGTGGAGGTGGACCGTGACTGCAAGCAAACATCAGATTCCTCTCAGCTGAGTCAAACCACCTGCGTGCACTCTCACACTGCAGGAAGCATTCCTGTTAGCACACTCACACACA